AGGTTTTGTGCCACTCTTCTCCCCATCAATTGTGTAACATCTAAATATAAATAGAAAAGCAACTTGATCTGCTCTGAATTGTGGCCCCTCTCCAAACTCACATAGTGAACCCCTAACTCCCAATGTGATGACATTTGGAGATGGGACCTTTGGGAGATAATTAGGTTTGAATGAGTCATAAAGGTGGGGCCCTGATGATGAGAATAGTACCGTGTGAGGACTCCGCAAGAAGGCAGGCATCACAAGCAAGGAAAAGGGCTCTCACCAGAACCCAACCATGCTGGCTGATCTCTGACTTCTAGCCTCGAGAACTGTGAGAAAATTAATTTCTGTTGTTTAAACCACCCAGTAGTATTTGGTGATGGCAGCCCAAGCTGACTAATGACTGATACGTGATCCTTTGAGATGTTAAAAGTCTGCTATCAAGAAACCTCTGTTCTAGTCCACATTGTTACTGATTGGCAAGGAAAAATTAAAGTACACAAATGTCCTAAACACCGAAAAGAAGACAACTCCAATTGCCATTGTTACTCACTTGGGTATTGTTGAAACAACTTTTAGGCCCAAGATGGAGTTGTTCCTGCCCCAGGTGCCATGTCAACAAACCAAAACTTAGATAACTTCCATGTCCCAATAAATGCTCCTCTTGACCAGAAACACAGTATATCCATTCAGCCAATCCCCAAATGCCAAGCCAACTCTGGGTCTTCTCACCCCAAACAAGGCTGACTATGTGGCCTCAGCCAGTTATTTTCTATTTTTCTTTTCCTTGTTCTTTATTCTTTATCCTATAACAGCTTTCTGCCTTCTGCCCATTTTGCAGTTGTCCAAATGGAGAGACCGTCTGCTTCATGAAGTGTTAAAGTTTGTTTCTATCACCTAAATCGTCTTCTTAAATCATTTTTAACAGTAGTAATTGGAAGGATAAAAGAAGAAAAAATGATAATCAAAGACGAGAAAAGAAATTCTTCACAGTCTGCCTCGAATCCCTCTTTCAGGTTTACTTTCCTGGACCTCTTGCTTTTCCCGACCTGAAGTCTTCCTCTGACCTCCTGAGCTACATTTTACTAGTTAGGACAGATCCACTTCCCACCCAGCTCTCTGCCCCAGAGGCTGACCTGTGTGGGCCATAATCCCCAGAACGCTGGCTTCTCACTGGGTTTGGCCAATGTGGAGCCCCAGTCAGACGTCAGAGAGAGGGAGGAATGTGCTAAAGATCAGAGCGTTTGTGCCTTCTTTCTCTGGTTCCTTCCCTGAAAGTTTACCACGAATTAACCATGTCCCTCAGCAAAGCTCAGTGCTCCTCTCAAGATGAAAAGCATCTTCGTCCATGGGGGCTGCTGTCACAATAAATACCACACGCTGAGTGGCTGACAAACAACAGAAATTGATTTCTCACAGTTCTGAAGGCTGCGAGTCCAAGACTGGGGTGCCAGCATGGGTGGGAGAGGACCCTCTTCCAGGTCAAAGACTTCTTGCTGTACCTCCTCCCACTGGGTTCTAGTAATTGATCCCTCGCTCCTTGTGGCCTAGGCAAGGTAACAATCTGGGTGCTCCTAAGCCCCCTCAGGCCACCCTCCTTTGAACTCTCGTGTGCATCCCCTGCGTGCTCAACTCTGAAAACAGCCTTTTGGAAGAAAAAAGTCCTATTCAAACTGTCCTATTTTGAGCGTGCCATTTGCTTCCTGTTGGGACTTCGATCAATACACACACTTTTATTCATGCAGTACCCTCAAGTTAAAATATCCTTCTTCCTTCTATCTCTCTGGTCAACTTCTAAACATGTTACAAAGCATGCTTGAATGTTGCTGCCCCTCTCTTATTTCTCCTGTCACCATCACAGAATGAATAGACCGTTCGCTCATTTTTTGCTCCAACAGCACTTTATTTTTAAAACACACAGGTACACACACACACACACCGCATATATATTACAATTCAGTACAAACATCACAGATCAAGGACAGCATCTAATACACAGCAGACACTCAATAACCGTGTTAAATTCCTATTAAACAATTTCAGAAGATTTTTTTAATATAATAATGTTTTTAAGGTGTACATTTTGATATAGTAAACAAAAATATCTTTACAGAAGTTAGTTTGGCTACATATGCAGGAAAAAAAGCGTTAAAGATATGAATAACGTATGTCTCACTACCCTTCAGGAACACACCCTTCTATCCTATCCTTACATCTTCATAGCCTGGAATGTTTACTTCACCTTTTATTAATTCATTTTTAAAATATTTTCTCTTTGGTTAACTCACTTAAAAACATAGAAAGGAGACATTTATATGACCATAGAAGCAATTAGGTATCTTCTTCCAAAGCATTCACCTGAAAAGACCAATTGTTTTGCAGAGGAAACAAAGCTGTTATTTCAACGGCAGGTGACAGTTCCTTTTTCTTAATGGTTACCAGATAATTCATAAGAGAAACAGCCTCAAGTGAGTTATAAAGGTCAATCCCTTGTGGACTGAAAGAAATTTTCAAGTTCAATTTAAAATAAGATTTGTAATTACCAAGATAGACTACCTAGGGACAACTTCAGATTGAAAGGCCAAAAACCTCAAGTTAGTTGATTTTTTTATAGAGAATTTAACCTCTCCCTCAAAGAAAATCTGACGCATCATTCCCCATAAATGAAAAACCAATTACATCACTATTTCAACACAATTACAGCATCTAAATATCTCCTCAACATTGGAAACATTTAAACACTACAAATAACATTTTGGGCCTAAATTTCCAGTTCATCATCCTCACTAAAATTCTCACACAATAATAATGAAGAAAGATTACACAAAAGTTTACTTGATATTTGTGGGACACTTATTTGCTGTTAAACATGGACTTTAAAAGCCAAATGAAACGGCAAAAGCCACTCTTTTTTTTTTTACTATCGGATTATTTCATTTTATCGAGGTAAAATAAACTTTGGAAAGAAAGCATAGAATAGTACATAGCATTTTACAAAAGCAGCTTAGTACATTTGGGCTACTATAACAAAACAGCACAGACTGGGTAGCTTACAAACAACAGAAATTTATTTCTCACAGTTCTGAAGGCTGCAAGTCCAAGACTGGGGTGCTAGCATGGTTGGGCAAAAGCCCTCTTCTAGGTCACAGACTTCTTGCTGTATCTTCACATGCCAAAGGGGCTAGGGACTTCTCTGGAGGCTCTGTTATAAGGGGGCTGATCGTATTCAGAGGGCTCCACCCTCACAACTTAAGAACCTCTCAAAGTCCCAACTGCCAGTACCATCACATCAGGCATTAGAATGTCAACATACGAATTTTGGGGAGACACAAACATTCAGACGACAGCAGAAAATATAAAAGATTTGGAGTTGGATGGGAGAGGTAAATGCCTGTCATTATTCCCAGTATATATCAATAATCATGCTTTCCTAGGAATCCGTTATTTTTCCCCATGCATAAAAACAACATATCAAAATTACTCCATTTATTTTTTCATGCAAAAAGTAGGTAAGGTGGCACAGCTCATAAATTTCCTAATTTAAGAAGGCAGAAAAAAAATTCTGCAACACTTTAAAAAATTAGTAAGTTTAGTTCTTTTAAAAACTGGCCATTAGACCTACAGCAACAGTGAAAACAGAGCTAGTACAGTTGCCTTGCCTCACAGTTTCCATAAAATCAGGCCTCATAAACCAGAGAAGAATCAAGCTATTTGGTCTATTCCTTCAAAGACTGGACCTAAAAATGCTTTAACATTCAATAAATGTTTCTCAAGTGCCTACTCTGTGCCAGGCACTGTTCTCAGAACTGAGAATATACAGTATTAGCAAACAAAACGGCAAAGGCCCTGCTCTCGTGGAGCTTATACTGACTTAGAAAAGAGATTATTTATATTAAATTTAAATCCCTCTTATTGTATACTCTAGCTACTTTTTCTCTTTTTCACTGAAGATTAAAAAGAACCTTGGCTGCCGTCCCATGTTAAAATGTCTCTTTATTCCAGACAGCGTGCTCTTCTGGTAACTATATTATGTGTGGCAATATTTCAGTAATTTTCAGATACATTTATAATGTCACTACTTGCAAAAAGCAAAACAAAAATGGCAAAACAAACATATGATGCATTTTAATTTTAAGTATACTTTAGGTAACTCTAAGTTAATATTGTTAAATAACAAATGCTAATAAAAATAATATTTCAGTCATAGGACTTATCATCGTAAATGCTACGAATGCTATTGCACGTCTAAGGAAGAGACAGAGACACAAGGGGCCTGGAAATATTATATAATTATATGAGCATGGGCTAAAATCAAGTAAATGTTAAAGGATTTAGATAGCTTCTTAAATAATCAAAGCCCAAAATCTGTAATGGTGGCTTTGGGACCCAGCCTTCAAGCTTCCCTTGAAGAGACAGGAGAAGCTGGCTGTGTCAGCTGTGCAGACCCTGAATGCAGAACCGCGTGGTCAGCCAAAGCAGAGGGAGTGTGCAGGACGCTCAGCCTGCCTCTGAAAGGCAGCCCGAGGCTGACCCAGGTGGCCTTAACACAGGAGAAGCGGAGAAACAGGAGCACCATGTCAAAGATAACCAGAAAAATCACGTCCCCAAATTGCAAGTCTCCCATGCACCACAGTGTCACCTCCCATTTATGTGGCTCATCACAAAAACAATTTTATCAAGATTCTCTTTACAGGTAAAAATTGTCTCTACGTTTGGTGATTTGAAGACAGTTTTCCTTTTTCTATTAAACTTTCCGTTTTCTAGATAAACCTCTGCAATACTCAATCACTCCTTTTATGAAGTTTGCAAAGTTGATGATAATGCAAATAATCAGTTTGGTGCCTTACCAACCAAGCAGTTCTAAGCTAACACATTTTAAATATTCCTGCATTTGGACATTTAGACTGTTTCTCCCACAGTTATAATGTATCAGTTTGCATTCTAATATTTTAAATCTGACTTTGCAAACAGTATAAAAAGAAAATAAGTTCAAATAAAAATAGGACAGAAGAAAGTACCTTTAATTTGGATCCATGCGGTACCAGGAGGGATTTATTAGGCTTTGGTGGGATATACAGATCCCATTTTCCATAATCCAGTTTTTTGTATGGGTACGAAAATGGATTCCAATCATCTAAAATAAAAAGAAAGCTCAGTTAACAACAGCATGATGGGACCAATATTTAATGAATTTCAAGCAAAGAATAATATGCTGCCTACTCGTACAGAATCAAATTATCTAAAATATATTGTTTTCTAAGGTGTTAATCAAAACACTGTAGTAGCCATTTAGAAAAACCAGGTTATTTTTAATTTAATTTTTAAAAATGTATTTGAAAGTTTGTCCTTTGCCCCTTAAAATTAAAGATCACAACATTTTCAATTACGCTTTCACCTCCAATACTTCTATCAATAAACAAAATGTAAAAGAAAATGAAGAAACACCATAAACAAAGATAATGTGAAAAAAATTGGGGCCGGCCCCATGGTGGCCCAGTGGTTAAGTTCTCGAGCTCCACTTCTGTGGCCCAGGGTTTTGCTGGTTTGGATCCTGGCCGCGGACATGGCACAGCTCACCAGGCCACACTGAGGTGGTGTCCCACATGCCACAACTAGAAGGACCCACAACTAAAATATACAACTATGTACTGGGGGAACTTGGGGAGAAAAAAGCAGAAAAAAACAAAAAAAAGAGATTGGCAACAGTTGTTAGCTCAGGCGCCAACCTCTAAAAAAAAAAAAGTAGAAATGCACTGTAGGCTATTAGATAAGATACATGTCATGGTAGAAAAAAATGATGAAAAATAATTAAGATCATATTTGGGTATATTTACCCAAATTCATAAGCATGTAACAGAACTGAGTTAAAAATCTAAAGAAATGCCTCAAGTGAGAAAAGTAGAAGGTTGGAAACTATAGGGGGGAAAGATTGGATTGCAGACCCTGGAAGAAAGCTAAAATGAACAACAACAGACCCATGCACACAGGGACACCTAACATACAACAGAGGTGGCATTACAGGTCACTGAGTAACGGACACGGTTAATAAGTGGTGCAAGAACATTCAGTTATTCTTATGAAAAAAATGAAATAGATGTCTACTTAATAATATGCCCAAGAATTATCTGAATATAGATTAATGTTTAAACATGATAGGCAAAAATGTAAAATGCTCAGAAAAAAATACAAGGAAATATTTTATAATCTTGGGTTTAAAAAGTGTTTTCTAAACAAAATACAAAAAAACTTTCACAAACCATTAAGAAAAAGTCTGATAAATTTGACTGTTAAAATTATAAACTTATCTTCATAGATAGATGGATGGATAGACAGACAATGACAAGACAAGCTACCAACTGGGAGAATATATTTGTAATGAAAATGCCGAGAGAGACCATCCAAAATATATGCAGAACATCTATAAGCCAATGAGAAAAAGAAAACAAACCAATAGAAAAAGAGACAAAGACAGTCAGCCAATAAACATATGTGACGATGCTCAAGCTCACTCATAATCAGGGAAACAAAAATTAAAACAAGATGAAATGCCATTTCCCACCCATTGGATTAGCAAAAATTAAAAGTTTGAAAATATCAAGTAATCAGCAAGGACATAAAATAACACTGCAGCTGAGGGTATAAATTGGTGAAACAATTTGGCCTTTTATAGCAAAGCTGGATTAACTCCAAGGCCCAACAGTTCTGCTCCAAGGTAGTAACCTAGAGAAATTCTCACAAACGTGCACAAGAAAGCATTCAAAAATGTTCGCTGAAGAATTGTTTGCAATAGCAAAAAATAGAAGCTATCAAAATTTAAATCAGCTACAAAATGGGTAAATATGTTGTGGTATAATTAAACAACAGGGTGCTATACAATGATATAAAGTGAATGGATTAGAGTGAATATATCAATATATACAAATAGCTGAAACATGAAAGTTAATTTTAAAGGGGTCTTGAATACCATTTATATTAAGCTCAAGAAATATGAAAAATAGTAATATATAATACTTATGGATACACATGTATGTAGTAAAAATATCAAAAAAGAAATGAAAATGTTAAGCATCAAATTCTATGGGTGATTTCCACTAGGTAGAGGAAAGGGAACACAGGAAGCTTCAATAAGATCTGTAACATTTTATTTCTTAAGGTAGGTCATGTATACAGAGATGCTTATTACGTTATTCCCTGGTTGTTTATGCATAAAATATTTCATGGTTCTAAAAAAACATTAAGCAGCTCTGTGATGCTATGCACTCAGTGTTGTGACGTTAGATTCTCAAGCGAGGAGATAACAAAAGCCTCAGGAAGCTTGCTCCGTGCCACGATTTCCTTCCTTACACACAACTCTTTCACCCCATCAGCTCTAAGGATCTTCACTCCCAGCCAGTCTGAACGTTGGGGGGAGAGTCGGGTAAGAAACAATATTTAATTAAAGGTCCTTCTAAACGTTCCCCTGCTCCCGATCATGAGGACAACGTGAACATGTCTAAAGGTGGTTTACCTTCCGGAGCAGCTCCACGGGCCCTGTGTTGTTACACTCTCCTGCTCCTGAAATCTCAAATACATCTCACCTATACATGGTGTGACATTCCTTTACCAAAGCAAAGAATTTAGGGGATAATTAAGAGAGAAAATAAAGCTTGAAATATGAATATCTGGGTACTATAACACTTTATACATTTATTGACTTTCTTTCTAAGCTTATCACTTAAGACAATTAATAAGCTTAAGACAAGCAGCAGATCTTTTCCTGGTTAGTAAGATCTGAAAATAAAGGGTACAGTTCATTAGCTCATTCATTCATTCATTAAATACATACTGAGTGCTTAATGCAGGACCTGCTCAACGCTAAATTCAAAATTATGTTCAGAATGACAGTCACATCTCTTCAAGAAAAAGTTAGAGTAACAGTGTACCAAAATGAATAGTAAAATTTATAATGCAGGATCCACTGAAAACTCAACTATAAACAAGATTTTGTTGCCTTGAAACTTCAATTATATGTGAAATTTACATACTCAGATGTTTTTTAAAAACTGTTTCAGTAATGTGAAAATCAATGTGTTTTTGAATATTAGTTTTTGAATATCAATTGAACTAGTTCTTCAGCTTGTAGTCACTTGTTTTAAGATCTATTTAAACAAATATCAATATTTGTATAAAGAAAAAATACTTTTACTGAATCACATTTTCCTTTTCTACCTTAGAGATCTAAATCTCCTAACGCATGCGTTGATTATTTGTAGTAATTCTACATTGTGAAAAAATCTCTTTTCTATCATCGTCAAGAGTTTCATTTTATTAGCACACCTCCACTTTATGGACACTCTGCTGACTTTCACTATAGGTACATTTTTCTTGCCAAACTCCAAGCTTCAAAGAAAGATTTAGAACATCCTCACATATCCCCCCAAAGAAAATCCATTCCACCAACCACAGTAAGGAATGTAGAGTATGCTAAAGATTTCATATGGGAGAGAGGGAGGAAGCGTTACAGGGCATCGTAAGAAACTTGAGATTTTTTCATTAGACAATTCTCTCCCCACGTAAATCCCTCTTCAGCCACACCACCACCAGTCTTTCACCTCTTTGAATCTTTCTCCAATTCCTGCTCAGCCCTAATTTTCCTCATTCTCCTTACTTTATTAGTGTTGCTTCTTTCCATTTAAAACATGGACACCAACAAAATACCCACTTCTACCGTACTGCGTGCATATGAAAAATTATTTCCAATAAAACCAGTTTCTCCCTAAAATGGGTTTCCCAAAATAGCTAATAAGAAAATGAGCTTTTCTCCATAGGATACTCATATCTAAGGCCCAGAAACAGAATAATCAAAAAAATCATTGGATTTGAACCTGTTCTTATAAACCTATTGTTAAACACTTAGTCAACAAAGAAGGAGCCATCGTTAAGGTATGCATAGGTACAGCTGCAGGAACCAACTGTGGAAGTCCCCCATTAAAAGTGAGCAAACAAAAATTCAATGTCAGATTATTGGTTTAAAAATACAAATTAAAAATGAATTTTTTGTTTGCGAATAAAGTTTGCTTTAGAAAAACATGGAAGGCAAAATAATACAAGGTGAAACACAAATTTTAGGGAAATTTATGTCTTGTGAAATAAGTCATGAGACTTTATTCCTAAATATAACTGAAAACAAAGAAATAATAAAAACAACAATAATAATGATAAACAGTTCTAAGCCATATTAGACTATATCTAAAGAGAACAGTTTTAGAACCAGACTACTCAAACATTTTTCATTTTAATTTTATATGACTTACATTCTGAGTACACAAAACAGAATTAGTTTTAATTAAGTACTTAATGCAAATCGTTTGTATCCCTATGTAGGCCTCAGGATAGACCAAAACCTCCCATCACCACATGTGACAATTATCTGCTTCTCTATCAGGCACAGAAGCGCACATTGGGAGCTCTGTAGTTCGGTGGTTCTCAAACTTCAGCTCACGCCAGAACCACCTGGGCTTATGAAAGCAGCTTGCTGTGCCCCACCCTCAGAGTTTTTGATTCAGTAGGCTTGAAGTGTGGCCTGATAATGTGCATTTCTAACAAGTTCCCAGGCGATGTTGATACTACTGGCCTAGGGCCCACACTTTAGAAAGAACTGCCCGGTTCAATCGGTGTGTTCAGGTGTTCTCTACTCTTAGCTTTGTGGGTGATCTTCTAGATTAAATTAGATTTACAGATGACCAAGTCTTCTAAACCAATAGGTCAAGGAACTTCTGAAATAAAAAATATCATTTAATAATCCTTCAAGGCAAATAGTACATGAAATTTAGGATTTAGGATTTGGAAATGAATAGGGTTGTAAAGCCCAGAAGGATGACCAATGAGATCAAGATTACACAACAGATCTGAGATATTAAAGAATTTGAATGTATTAACGTGAGAGAACAAAAATTGACAATCTGAACATGAAAAGATAGCATATGAAGACCAATACTCAATATACTGTTTTTAATGTCTATAGAGAATATTTTCTAGAATATTCTCACCAAGAGATAGCTTAGTTAAAGTGTATGGGCCACTGATCATAAAATGAATAAAAATTTGAAGGCTTTTACTTAGAAAAGTAATATTAAAATTTTTAAATGTTAACAT